CAATGGACAATAATTACTGTGCAATCTATTGCCCATGTGCAACTGCTGCTAGTATTTGTGTTATTGTGTTATCTGTTGTGTTTTTTTACTGTTTTTTCTCTTTTGTACAGTGTTTATATTATATTATATTATATTATTTTTTCTGATACTGTTCTTATACTGTCTTTATACTGTTTTTTTTCTTTATCCACTTTGCTGCTGTAACATATTTTCCCCATTGGGGAACATAAGATATCTTAATCTATTTTATTTTATCTTATCTTAGGTGCTAAGACAGAAAGAGATGAGGCAAATGAAAAGAGCTGGTCTCTAGTTACTATATGTTTATTGACTGATACATATTGATTAACATGTCTGAGGCTTAGTGATTCATTGAGCTGCTTCACTGGCTTGTATCATACAAGCCAGTGAAGCAGCTCAGTGAATGACATGATGTGTGACAGTGATGGACACTGACTCAAACTACCTAATCATAACAAACACTGCATGAGTGACTGTGTGTGTGTGTGTGTGTGTGTGTGTTTTACCTGCCACTAAGGAGGCCATGCGAGTATCCATTAGCGTGTCATCATAGGGAGATATTTCCAGTTCATCTTCCCCTGGAGGAAAAAGGAACACACAAACATTGGCAAACAATTGAGTGATCGTTCACAATGCGGCCCATGGAAGGTTGGAAGGACATCTAAGACAAACACTGAGGTACAGAAAGCAAACGGTAATTGACTAACACCAATAAAACTCAAAGTGACCTCCCTCCCTCAAATGCACCAGAAGGTAAATGATGTAATCTGCAATGCGACCATAAAATAATCTGAAAATAATAAAATCATTCTTATGTTTTTGAGCTATATAAAATGGTCTTACGTTGGTCATATTTAGTAAGGCCATGCCCACTCCTAGGCTGGCAAATCTGAAAATGCAGATAACGTGAAAATGTGTGAATTGTGTCCAAACTACCACCTCAAAGTCATTTTTTATATTAAAAATAAAAGACTTTGAACCTTCCAAAACGATCTGATATGATTTCAAACTCTGTACTAGTTCTGGAAAAAAAACTTTTGGAATACAGAATTGAAGACACAAAAGCCAAAGATAAACCAGGTCCTCAAGTATATTTTTCAAAAACATGAAGTTACGAATTGATTCATGTTATTGACATCAACAATGTAATAGAAGAATCAGCACTAAGGAAATCTGCAAGAAAACGGTTTCATAAGTCAGCATCAGCCACATTAGAACAGAAAAGGCTATTAGTTCTTCTCTGTATATCTGACCTGACACTGTAAGTTATCTTGTCTCTTAAATAAAAAGCTCAGGATCTATATTACTGTTTGAGACTGTAAAGTTTGATCGCAGTTTGTAAATCGCAACATTTAATATAACAAGGTGATTCTGATTCATAGAGTCAAGATAACACTCTACAGAGGTACCAGTAAGCAATGACCCACAGGAGAGTAAATACAAGTGTATAATACCGGAAATAGATAAGACAGTGGTGGAAAATCCTCCAATGATGAGAAGATCATGGCTGTAAAAATGAGTCATCTACAACATGCATTTGTACAGTATGTTCAAACAACAAATCATTCATAACAGATCAATCATCATCATGCTGCTCTTTGTGCAAAGTAACACAATTCTATTCTATCTCTGAATTAAGTTGTGCAGTGCATTTTCTGACAATTCTTTCTATCAAATTGACATTTACTTTACAAAAGCTAATTAGAAGAACAGAGGCCTCCCCCTGCATCCCTTGCAGTGCAGAGAGGTCCCTGAAGTAAAACCAATCATTCTCACATCTAAAAATGTTAGCTTCTTTACTTCCCTCTATGAGTCTCTTTTCTTACTTTAGTGGAGAGTGCACAGCCTCCCCCACTGTCTGGCGACCTCTACTATCTAGCTATCTCCACTATGCAGGTTTTGATTTATAGTTCAGCACTGGATTTCAACATGATCAAGCCATATCACGCTTTAATTATATTTCTCACACCATGTGTTTATATTCTTACATTTACTTTGTAATACAAAGAGAGCCCGGAAATGTTAACTTTTTTCTCATTGCTGAATAGGATAATTCTGCCTTATACTTACCATATTTACCTTCTGACATTCACTGTGATAGAGAACAGTGATCCCAGCACGCATGAACTACAGTGGCAGTAGATCTACAGATTAGTGAGCCTTACTTTAACTTCTTGATATTGTCTTCACTATCAACAATTCCCATTGGCATCAGAAACTTGCAGTCTCCCTGTGGCATGCCGATAGTCTTAGTAGCGTAGTTGAGAAGTTACATTATTAAGGAGGCATATATGTTCTATGTGTAGCGACATCACCTACATGCATGGACTATATATAAGAGATTTAGAGGATCAATATAGCAGCAAACTATTTGCTATGTAAATATATATTTGAGTAATGGCTTACTGAGCAGGGAATGATGTGTTGGCTTCGAGGAGAAGACTGAAATTGCTGTTCTGATCTACCTCAGTGACTTAAGTATTTATTTCATCTAAACCAGAGTTGGAGATTGTTGTTGGAACAGTGGAAAGACTAACAGAGACAGCTTTGATAAGTTTGATTTTGTTTCTGGCGAGTTTGAATAAAGTGTCTCTTGTGATTATCTGGAAGGTTAAATTACAGTTTTTGTCTATGGATTCTGGTGGTGAGTGATAGCACTATAAAGGCAGTTTCTGGTTAAACAAAAATAATCTTACTCTATAACAAAAACTTATTTTTTTGTATGGATCCTTTCCATAATGTTGTCACTTAGAATAACAATCTGAGCCTGTCAGTGGCAAAAACAAGCACTTTTAGTGGCGCATGCGGGCACATTCGTGCCTTCGTCATCGTAACAATGGGTGACTCCAGGTCCAGTGGTTTACATTAATGAGGAGAGTTTCAGAAATGTATAGATATCCCACACTAGGGTAGTATTCATTAGCGTATAACCACCTGAAAATAAGAATCATTGTATTTTCATTACTTTAGAATGAGCCATTTTTATCTATGGAGTCTGCGATGTTGAACCGCCATTTTACGGTAGCCCAGAATAGACAAACCAAACACTCGCTGCAGCAAACTTAAAGTAAAGCTGAGACCAATGGAAATGTCATTAGCTTTGCAGGTATTTGGTCATAAACCTGGACCAGGTTTCTCCAAATGTCATGGCAGTCCATCCAGCATTTGTTGATATGTTATCCAAAACCAAAAATGTCAACTTCATTTTGAAATGAAAGTCAGATGATCACCAAAGTCATTACGATTTATC